AAACATTCTTCTTGTTTCTAATAGAATATTTTGCCTTACATATTTTCTCAATAATACCATTATAGCTCAAACATTCTTTCTTATCAATACTTTAATATTACATTTCCCATCATTTTTTTCTTGAAACTATTTTATTTTTCAACTTTAGAATGCTATTTATAAACAGAATGAAATTTATTTTAAGTGTAATGTCTTTCAATTGGGATATTAGTTCATATACATTTGGGGGGAAAGTCAAAAACTTTATTTAAACTCTCATGACCTTATTTGAAAAACACATTACAATCTAGACTATAAAAAGATACTTTTTAGAAAAAATGAGGGATTTCTATCTATTCATCTCTTTTGACCTATGATTCATTTCCTACTACTCTCATAATGATACAACTTCTTTTTCTTCCCTTTTCTTCCTCATGCTTTGAAATGGCAGTGGCCATAAACATGCTGTTAATGGAAAGTTTGATTGAGTCCTTGCCAGGGATGCAACAACAGAGCTCTGGTGGTTTAGTGGTAAGGAGCTGCACTGCCAACCCAAAGGCATGTGGTTTGAATCCACCAGCTCCTCCTTGGAAGATGGACAGGCAATCTCCTCCCATGTGATTTACTGCCTCTGGAAGCCCACTGATGAGGCCAGCTATGGTTCAAGTCTGGCTTGATGGGACACAACAAATGACAGGGAAGCAACTGCTTCCTGCTTCTGAGCCTTCAGAAAGTCACTGGCATTTCTGTGTCCCTGACCATCAACACAATCGTCCTACTACTTGCAATATCTTCCCCTAAGTTTTTCTTTTACTTATTCACATTATTTAAAAGAACTTTACATTTCAGCCACTCAACAATTGCTTAAAATTACTGTTGTTATGTGTCAAGTTGGAACCAACTCAAAGCTGAGCATTTGCAGGTTTTCAGAGGTTATGAATGACCTGGGAGGAGACCATTCATACTTCTCTCATGAACTAGCTAGCTGGTGATGTCTTTGAGCTGGCAGCACAATTCCCCAGGTACTAGGCCACCAGAGCTCTCTCTAAGAAGCAACTAGAGGGCCCTAAAATCCGACTAATTCATACTTTCTATGTAAGACTCTCAAAAGTTAAAACAAAACAATAAACACCCAGCCACAAAAACCTTGTATGAATAGAGAATGGTCCAGTGCAAATAAAAAATGGATTCTGAGCACAAACACATTTTATAAATCTTGTTTCCAAATAACGTTAGCCATACAAAATATTTAGATTGTCTAAAAATGCAATTTACACAGTAAAAATGATTTGTTTTCAGTATGAAAGTACTTTTAATTTCTTTACTGCAGGTATAATGGCATCCACATCATCAATTTCTAAGATTTTAAGCAGATCATTAGTGAATGCCTGAAATGCTGGGAAAAATTCGTCATGTTCTTCTAATTTGCTGATAATGCTCTGGAGGTCTTCAGGTCCCAGTACCTGCTTCACCTGTTCATTCACACCCTTATTAATCAAACAACACAATTTTCCAACTGTGTTTACAAGCACTTACAAAGAAGCAGAACTGTCTAGTTCTAAAAGTTCTCGAATGTTCCTCACAGCATTGCTCATCTCCCCAAGCCTCGTATAAAGTTCATTCATCTGAGGATAGACTCTGTTCAAAGAAGACACATCAAACAATTTTTGGAAGTGAGAAACAACAGCTTGTAAGGTCTGAAAGTTTGGCATGTTGTTGTCCTTTTGTTTATTTTCAATTTCTTCCAACATGGTGTCTATGATAAACAACAGATCTTCAACTTTGATACTTTCATTTTCACCCTGCTTCATTAAATTATGCCAAGGTATCAGTTCTGCAGAGAGTATTTTCAAGGATTTATACAAATCCTTCAGGGAGGTCAGCTGATCTGCCCACATTTCTATGATAGTTACAAGATGCTCAAAGCCAGAGTCTTGAACAAAATCATTATTAAACTGTTGAGCTCCTCCTTTGCTCTGTTTATAAATTATTACTGGAGATCTTGGATTGTGAACAATTGAATTGATGCTACAGAGGACCTGAAAGTATCTGTGGTCAGCCAGGGCCTTTTGCGGGTTATCCTTGCTGCGGTCCTCGTCCTTCTTTGCTGAGTCCTCAGACTTTTTTTGGCTGATCAGCTCCCGTAATTTGATGTTCTTCTTAAGGGCTTTCTCCAATTTCTTCACTTGTTTATAAAGTCTTCATTTATGCTGTGTGGGCCTGCTTTCTAAATCTTTTTGGAGGCTCAGCTTTTCACTTAAAAGAACGTCAATCTTGGCTTTCTATTCCTGAAGTTGAGTTTGTAAAGACGTTAGAAGGCCTTTATAATTTGGTGAGGCATCCAGGCTTCTGTAGTCTTTTTTTTCTTTCGATTGACTTTCATCGTCTTTACATGGTCTTCGTTGTTGAATTGTTCTGATTTTAGATTCATAATAATCAATCAAGGAAAGCAACTGTCTATCCAAAATATTATGAGGAACCCTTTTGCAGAGGTAGGCAAATACTTTGTTTTGAGTGACAATGCGCTCTACTTCATCTATTGTTAATCGATAGTTTACCAATTTTGCTTTTCACACTCTCCATAATTTGTTCCAAATCATTAGTTTGTTGCTCCTGATCGGCCGCGCGCTTTTGTTCCAGCTGAAGGTCATTTTTAAGGTGCTGATTCGCTTCTATGAGCTCCTGGATCATGTTCTGCTGACGCCCTGTGTCTTCCATCAGTGTTTTAAAGTTCGTTCTCATGCTTTGTGATGACTGTTTGTCAAAAATTATAAGATCTTTGAGGTCTGCTCTCCTGACAATGGTCAGAGGGTCTAAGCCATGTGTCAGCAGCAGCACATTGATGCTCTCCCATTCTGCTTCTTCTTGCTGTTTTTCAGTCCTGAATTTGAGGATCCGCTGGACTCCTGGGCTTCAGACATGGTTTCTCATGCAGCATCAAAAGAAGGTGAAGTTGGTATAAAAGGTTTGAATTGCTCAGGTGCGGCTGATTCCTCTCACACTTCTCACCGGCTCATCCAAGTTGATCTGCATGATGTAATCACCCAATGAGCCTCAGGTCCAAGATCTGATCTTCATCTTTCTTACCCGCCGCTTCCCACCAGCAGCCCGCCCGGTCCGAACCCGCTTGGCAGTTTCCAGACCTTCCTCAGGCGACCGATCAATTTTTTTTAAAATATATAACTATATGCACTCAGAAAGTCTGCAGTGAGGGACGTTTCCAAATGAGGCACAATGATGTCAGTTTGAGGACTAGGGTGCACCTGATTCAGGCCCATGGTCTTTTCAATCACTTGCTATGCATCTCAGAGCTGGACAATGAATAAGGATGACAGAAGAAGAATTGATTCCTTTGACCTTGGTGCTGGAGAGAGTACCGTATATCCCATGGATTGTTAAAGAACAAATAGATATGCCTTGGAGAAAGTATCACCAGAGCTTACAAGCTTTCTCTTATATTTTAGTCACATTGTTAGGAGAGGGTATTTCTTGGAGAGGGACATCATACATGGAAAGGTGGAACGCTGGTGAAAGAGAAGACCGTCAACCAGATGGACTGACGCAGTGACTGCAGCAATGGGCTCAAGTGTGTCAGAGATTGTGAGGATGGCATAGGGTAGGAGAGAGTTCAGATCTGTTCATAAGGTTGCTATGAGTGGGACTCAACTTGATGACACATAACAATTTAATGTTTTCCAATGTATCTTTCTTCATTAATTATTTTGCATTGATGATTTTTATGTTTAGTTATTTTTATTCAATTAAAGATAGATATTTTCCCTATCATTTTTGCAACATCATAGAAATTATTATATGTATTATTTGTATTTAGTGTTCGACAATATGACTATGACATGCCTAGGAACAAACATGTTTATCCTGTTTAGGACTGCTGAATTTCTTGTATCTATAAGATTTTGTGTTTCACAAAATTTGGAAAGTGTTCAAACATTATTCATGTAATCTTTTACTCTTTTAGGGCCTTTCTTCTCCCCTTTAGTGACTCCAATGACAAATTTGAAGATTTTTATTATTGTCCTACAAATATTTGTTTGACATACTGTTTAAAATCTTTAAAATCATTTTTTGCTCTATTGTTCAGATTAGATAATGCTATCGATCTCTCTTCAAATTCACTAGCTTTTTCCTTTATTATTTCCATTCTGCTATTGAGTCTATTCAGTACTTTTTAAAAACATTGATTATTAAATTTGCAGTTAAAAACTTTCCATTTTTACTTTTCTTTCTTCCTTCCATTACTTAGTTCAGATAATGCCCCTTTCCATTTAAAAGTGTTTGTTCAGCATGTGGAATTGGTGTTTCTGGAGGATACCTAAAGAGAAGTATGTAGCTAGCGCGCACACACATAATGCCATCTTTTCCCTCCCCTCAAATAGCTATTGTGTAAGGAGTGAGTGGTAGTGTTTTTCCAGGGTTGGCTAAGATGTTATCAAGCAGAAAATATACCTGGAAGATTCCTCCGTTCCCTTCTTTCTCCCAGGCCCCCTTGAAGATTAAAGGAAATAAAAATGTATGCTCTATCCCAGTGATATAAGCAATTGTTCATGGCAAAAGGGGAAACATGGCTCTCACTGGGAAACAACAGTATGGAGTTAACACAAAATCTCTTTTAGAAGGGAGGCTAAGAATTAGATTACACAGTTGATATCAAGAAAAGAATCTCAAAGAATGCAGATAGATTTTGTTTCCGGTTACTGAACAAAAAGAGATCCACTGCTGTTTTTGAGCCTGTTTTTGCTCTAAGGATGGTTTGTGCCTGAAGTACAAGTAATTTCTAAACAAATCATTTAGAAGAAATTACAAGTGTTTTCCCCAACCTCTATCACCATCAGAACTTGGGCTTCGTGATTCACAGAAGACAGTTCAGACATTTCTTTTTAAGGGAAGGAGGACTTTCTAGAAGTACTAATGTGTGAAGAGTTTTCATCAACACAAAAGGTTGTCAAAGGAAGAGTCTCCTGGGAACTGCAGGACTCTATTTTAGCTTCCACTTAAAGACCTCAGTTCCCTGTTGGGCACTCAACATTGATCCTGAAAGTCAAATTTTCCCCTCTTAGGACTTTAGTCTGTACCTTCGAGATCACTGCCATCCTTCCTGTGGAGACAGTCACTTTCTCAGGGGTTGCAGATTCCCTCCTAGGTGCCAGCCTAGTCTCAGCCTTAAGATTTACTGGGCTCGGGGTACTCTCTCCAGCGGTCACAGTCCAATGGCTTAATGGAGTCTTCTTTCTCAGAGTTACTTTGAGCTTTTCAAGGGTCATAGTTCCCCTTTCTGTGGTCAGTTTCATCTCTAGCATTACTTTCATAATTTCTATGTTTCTCTGTAACTGTCATTTCTCCTCCTAGAGGGAGAAAAAAAATCACAAAGTAAGTGCTCAATGTCTTGGTCACAATCCACTTTCAAGGTCAGTCATTAAAAAACTCGCAGGAAATGAGAACCAAGATTGTGATGAACGGATTGAGCTGAATGCTAAAGAAAATCATCAAAGAAGTATGATTCCACCTCTTTCTTTCTAAATTAATACTCTTTCTATTTCTAAATTAATTACTGGCAGAGCATTAATTACTCAGCGCTGAAGTTGCCACTCACAAAACCAGACTGAGAGGCTTAACTGAAATCCCATCACATAAAAGCCCTGATCCCCTACCCACTCCACTCGTTAGCAGGACTCCAGGCACTCACAGACATTAAGTGGATTTGATACTTTTCTGGGAACTATCAGTTTTCTAAGCTTAAGCCCTCAACCAGCATTCCCTGCATCTTTGGCAAGTCACTTATCCCAAGGACTAATCATATTTTAAAACTTCAAGGAGAACTCTCTGGTCCCACAGTATAAAAGGCACCGAAGAACAACAGTCAGGAGCAATGAGACTACTCCAGACAGAATCTTGTAAAGAATTGTGTTGGAGTCCTCTCCACTCTTCTAACTAGCTTGTTACCTAGATCTGACCTTTATGATTCCCAGCCTCCTTATTCATAAAATGAAGATTATAAATCAACTTCTAAGGCTATTTCCACTCTAATGTGCCAGGTTTCATCACTTAACTATCAGAGAAAGTCTACATAAAAAAAACCCATAATTTGCTTTTTGGCCCTTGCTCCATAAAAGCAGAGTAAAGAGACAGTGAAATAAACTAGTATCTATTAAATTCTAACTAAGAGTCAGCACAATATTCATTCCATATCTTCTTTAATTCTTTTACCAATATATTCTTTCCATTTCACAAGTAGGGAAAATAAAGATCAGAGAAGCAAACAAGCAAGCCAAGAGTTGTTGTTGTTATTGTTGTTGTTGTTCTGTGCCGTCAAGTCACCTGAGACTCTAGCGACCCTGTGTATAATAGCCCTAAACCCTGCTGAATCAATACATCTCATCAAGCGTCTTCCTCTCTTGCACTGTCCCCACCCTCTCAAGCATGATGCCCCTCTCCAAGGACTGATCCTGCCTTGCAACATGTCCAAAGTATATCAGATGGAGCTTCATAATCTTTGCCTCCAAGGAACAGCCTTGCTTCACCCTCTCCAGGATGAACTTGTTTGTTCTAGTAGTCCATGGTATGTACAATACTCTTCTCAAGCACCAAAGCTCAAAGGTATCAACTCTCCTTCTATCAACCCTAGTCCTTGTCCAGTTCTCTGGTACATAGCAAGTAATTGCAAAACCATGGCCTGGATCAGGCACACTTTAGTCTTCAGACTGACATCATTCATCTTCAGTACTTTGGAGAGGTCTCTGACAGCAGACTTTCCCAATGCAATTTGTCTTTTAATTTCCTGGCTGCTGGTGCCAAGAGTGTTGATTGTAGAGCCAACCAAACTGAAGCTGTCAACAATCTCAATTTCCACACCATCCATTCTGATGCTGCCAATCGGCCCAATGGTGAGAATCTTTGTTTTCTTGATGTTGAGCTTCAATCCCTATTGAAGGCTGCAGTCCTTGACCTTCTGCAGCAAGCGCTTCAGGTCCAACTCAGTTTCAACAATCAGGGTTGTGTCACTGCATAATGCAGATTGTTGAGTCTTACTCTAATCCTGACACCATGTTTCTCTTAATTGAGTCCAGCCTCCCAGATAATCTGTTTCACATGTAGATTGAAAAGATACAGAGATAGGACACATCCTTGATGCACACCCTCCCAATTTTTGAACCATGCAGAATAGACTGCTTTTACCTGAAAGCTTATTCTCTTTTCTTAACATCATGCTGCCTCACCAAAGAGGCAAGAATTCTTTTAAACCTTCAAGAAGAGCTCTTCCTTACTCTGTGCCTGCTAGGAATTGAATTATGTCCCCCAAAGCTATGTATCCTAATTCCTAACTTCTGAGTGTGTGGATATAATCTCATTTTGGAATGGGCTATCTTTGTTATGTTCGAGTGTAGGCATGTCTTGAGTCAATCTCTTTTGAGATACGAAAGAGATTAAACACCCAGAAATGGGGAATGACAGATACCAAGTCACATGAAGTTCACCAGTAGTAGAGCTCAAAGAGACAGACCTTCCTCCAAAGCCAAACAGAGAGAGTAAGCCTTCCACTAGAGCTGGTACCCTGAATTTTAATTTCCAGCCTCCTAAACTGTGAGAAAATAACTTCTGTTCATTAAAGCTATCTACTTCTGTTATTTCTGTTATAGCAGCACTAGCTAACGAAGATAGTGCCTAAGTATGGAATTTCTAACCCCAGGGTCTAAGTCATGGATACTTACCATCCTGCACTAGGAGATTCCTCAATATGCAGACAAGGGGGAAATGGCAATTGCCACAGAATGCACCCTTCACATCATCCATGTCCAGTGTCCATACCATGGTTCCCCCCAAATGCTCTCACTTTATGAACATTGCCTATAAAAGAAGCAGCCAATCACCTTGTTCCGGATAGCCTCCAGACTGGATGCAATACCCAAAAGCATAAGTTGGATCCCCAGAAGGCAATATAGCAGAGGGGAAGAGTAGCCTGGATTTAAATCTAGTCTCTTTCACCATTAGCTATGTGATCCTTGAAGAGTCCTGCATCTTTTTGTATCTTGATTGTCTCATCTATCAAAGAGAGATAATAACATTTCCAATAGTTTTTAAGCAAAATAACTTATACATAAAATATATGGATAAATGTCTGAATCACCATTATCTTTATACTAAAGAAACTCCCCAGGTTTTTCTACCAAAATATATCAGGTTGCTATGAACCTTCACCTTTCAGGTAGCAGTCAAATACTTTAGCAGTTTGCAGCAGCCAAGGACTCTAACACATATACACAACATACACATATATGCACATATAAACATATAAACATACATGCATACAAGTATACACTACACATGTGTATGCACACACACACATCCTCGTAACTAGAGACTGATAGCAATGTATCAAACAAACAATAAAAACAATCAGAATAACATCTTAGCGAAGACCAAACACCTTCAACTAAAACATTTTCTTTTACTATCTTGTCTTTTCTTCTTGTTGTTGAGGTCTATCGAATGGGAACCAACTCAGAGCTGATGCTCTAGCTGGTTTTCAGAGGCAGTGAATCCTATAGGAAGAGAATGCCTATCTTTCTCTATCTTTCAAACCACATAACCTTGGGTTGGCAGTGCAATTCCTTACCACTAAGGACTGCAGCCTTCAATGTGGATGGAAGCTCAGTATCAGGAAAACCAAGATTCTCACCACTGGGCCAATTGGCAGCATCATGATGGATGGTGAAGAGATTGAGATTCTTAACAGCTTTAGTTTTCTTGGCTCCATAATTAATGCTCTAGGCACCAGCATCCAGGAAATTAAAAGATGTATTGCATTGGGAAAGTCTACTGTTAGAGACCTATCTAGAGTTCTGAAGAGCAATGATGTCAGTCTGGAGACTAAGGTGGCCTGATATAGGTCATGTTCTTTGCAATCACTTGCTATGCATCAGAAAGCTGGACAATGACTAAGGATGATAGAAGGACAGTCTTTGAGCTGTTGTGTTGGAGAAGAGTATTGAACATACCATGAACTGCTAAGTTCAGTATGAACATGTTCATCCTGGAGAAGATTAAACCAGGCTGCTCCTTGGAGGCAAGGATTCTGAAGCTTCATCTGACATACTTTGGGCATGTTGCAAAGAGAGACCAGTTCTTGGAGAGGGACATTATACAAGGGAGGGTCATGGGACAGCAAAAGAGAGGAAGACCTTCGATAAGATAGATGGATTCAGTGGCTGGGGTAATGGGAGTAAGTGTGTCAGAGACAATAGGATTGGCACAGGATAGATAGGTCAGGGTTTAGGGCTGTTGTACCTAGGGTTGGTTGCTATGAGTCACAGGCAACTCGACAGCACATAACAACAAGAAGAAGAAGCCACCAGAGATCTTATATTTTCTCTTAAAAACTTCAACTTCACCCAAATTTGTCTTCAAACCCAATTCAAAGTTTTTGTGCATACATAGCTGTTCTAAAGTTGTCATCATCTCCTGCTCATCTCCCTCAAGATTTCCCTCACAACTTAGCCTTTGCCACAAATCAGCAGCATTTTTTGAGTACATATGTATTGCCTTGTATTGATATTGTCCTCTTAATGCAATTATCTGATTGAAATGAAAGAGAAGAGACTGTCACCAAAAAGCTACATGAGTTGAGAAAAGTCACTTCTCCCCTCAACACTCAGATTCCTTCAAAATATGTGGATTGAACTACCAAGGATTATGAAACCCTGATTAAAACTAAAACTCATGTTTCTGAAATTCATATGATCTAATCATCCCCTCTACACACAAATACCCCTGTGCAGACCAGGGCCCATGGAGACCAAAGGGATACATTATGCAGGGACCAGAAAGGATTAGAATCTCACTTTGTAAGTGAAGCTGACAACATCACCATAGCCAACCCACTTCTTCCCCTTACAGGCATAGGGGACAAACTGCTCATGAATCCATGTTTTCTTTGCTCTTCAGACAACAGAGCAAATCTTCCAGGAAGATCACAAGGTTAATTTGATCAAATACCATGGAGAGAAGTATAAGAAGAACAGGTGTATGCTCCTTTCCTAGGGATGTTATTGTTGTTACATGTCATTCGTGCATTTTCAGAGGCTGTAAATTGCATTAGAGGAGATTGCTTGGGTTTTTCCCCCCCATGGAGCAGCAGATGGATCTGAACTCCCTGCCTTTGTGTTGGAAGCACGACTCCTTACCACCAAGCCACCAAAGCTTCCCAAGGATAAAGTCTAAGAATCTCTTCTGAGTGGGATGAAGGGAGACCAAAGAGGAAGCAGTTACTCAGTGACCTCTTAATTCTGCATAAATTCCTAGCATTATACATTGCTTTATTTAATGTTCATGGAGTAAAGAGGAAGATAGCATGAGAGTGAGTGACATACTTAAGAAACTAAATTGTGGTTTGACAAATAATACAAATACAAAACTACTGACAATTATACACCTGACCACTGACCAAATCTGTAAATTTTTTCCTGGTGTTCTGAAATCAACAAGTTCTCTGTTAAATAGATCTTGGCACAAACTACCCATATACTTCTCCACCTGGATTTGTAAAAGCACAGGATAGATTGGGACTACTCCACACTAATCCAGCTGTGGGGAAGAAGGCAGGTGGGGAGCAGAGATGAAATAAGATTGGTCATGAGTCGTTAATCATGGAAGCTTGGTGATACGAATGTGGTGGTACCTTTGTGTATGTGGTACCTTTGTGAAATGTTATATATTGCAAGTATTTTTGTTTTCAATTAGGCCTATAGTAAATAAAAATAAACCTGTATAACATTTAAGGGATGAAATATCTGTCTCTCTAACGTCCAGTTCCTTATCCTTCTCAAAGAGCTCAAGTAAATCTCATAAAGACTATTCCAGACAGCTGGTTTCTCTTGCCAGAAAAATACATTTCCACCCCGTCTCTAACCCTCACCTTTGCTTTTGCCCCCATCCTTGCCTTGGTCCCAGTTAAGAAGAGGACCTTTTTCTCATTACCTCAAAATAAGCCAAAAAGCCAGCTTGCTTGGTGTACTTCCCTGGAGATGCTGGTCTTACGGTCCTGACCCCCAGCTCACTCTTGGAACTTTTAAAGAGGCGAAAGGTACGTCCATAGGTGGGTAACCCCATGATGAGCTTCTCTGAAGGTGCCCCAGACATTCGCCAGTAATTCATGACATATGCCTACACACGGAAAGAACACAAATCCCTCTCTGGAATTAAAAACCAATGCCTTAGAATCAACAGCAGGTATCTGGGTCATTAAAGATTTTTCCTTTTCTTACTAATGATTTGGGATCCTCTAATTTAGAGAATAGTGTGCTATTGTGTCCTGTGATATTTTCCCAGAACCCATGGAAGTCGTAAGACAAGATGTTGATGAAATCCAGGTATCTGTAAGGAACAGGAGAAGAAAATCATAGTTCTACTTAGCTGTGCATTGGTCACCCAAGCTTCCCTCCTTCTCTTTTTTGCCTACAGGCCCTGACCATGCTATGTCTACACTTGAGATGCAGCCATTAGAACAAAAATCAAGTTATGGACAGTTATATAGCAGGATCTATGCATCCAGAGCACTCATGGCCTAGGCCAAGGTCAAGATCAGACAAGTATACAAGCATACCCAGTCCTGACACAGGTTCTAACAGAGGTCTGTGTATACCATGTGAGTCCAGAGCTTTGGTGAGTCTTGGTGCAGGTACCAGAAAAGAAGCATTGAACCACATATTGAAAAATGGTAGGAAGCTAGCAATGTGGGAAGAGTCCTCTCAAATAGAATAAAGTCCCATAGTTGTGAAAGAGGCTCAGTTCTACCATTCACAGAGCCATTAAAACCTGTCTCGTCCAGAAAGCTTTATTTTAAGGTTTTGCTGCTGGCTTCCATCAAGTCAATTTTAACTCAAAACGAGCCCATAACACAGTGTAAATGGCTCCATACCGTTTTCTCGGCTGCAGTCTTTGCAAAGGTAGATTGCCAAGTCTGTCTACATCTATATGTTGAGCCACCAGGTGGGTTTGAACCAATGACCTTTCAGTGAGCAGCCAGGCTCCCAACCAAGTCACCCTGCTTTCTTAATTATTAAGTATAGTTGAGCACTGTGGAGACTTCTGCAGATTTGGTGGTAAGAAGGTGCACCAAAGAGACTGGAGAGCATTATGCTGAGTGAACTAATTCAGTCTCATAAGGACAAATACTGCATAAGATCCTTATTGCAAAAAATAGAAGGATAACTAGTAAAACATGTTTGGAAATCCAAAGGGGTAAGCGATGGAAATGGAAGGGTAAGGATGACTGGGGCAATATCACAGAGTTGTACAGTTTTGTGGTGGAGGATCCGGGTGAAAAGACTAGATAATGACAGGCAAGGTCCAATAGTGATTATAGTGATTAATTTTATAAAACATAATACATAAAAATGATTGTATGAAACACGATATGAATGAGGAATAGTGTGAAACACAATGCATTTGAACTTGTAAGCAAACCAACTTAAAAAAAAAGAAATTGCACTACCCATCCAAAGGGAGGAAGTTTGAATTCGCCAGCTGCTCTGTGGAAGACAGATAGCTATCTCCTCCCTTGAGATTTACAGCCTCGAAAAACCTTCTGAAGGATCAGCTATAAGTCTATTCAGACTCACAAAGCATAAGTACAACAGCAATTAGGCATTCATTTAGCAGCAGGTTCTATAAAAGTTTTGAAGCTCTGTCTCATCTACTTTGGGCATGTTTCCTTGGAGAAAGACATCATGCTTGGAATAGTGGAGGGTCAGCGCAGGAGAGGAAGAACCAGGATAAGATGGACTGACCCAATGACTGCGGTAATGGGGGTTGGTGTAGAGATAGTGAGACTAGATAAGGACAGAGCAAGGTTCAGAGCTATTGGATCCTATGAGTTGTAGGCACTTGATGGCACATAACAACAACACAAGTATAAGAGTTTAAACTGAGTATTTATTTCATTTAATCTTGCAACTGTCCTACAAAGGGAAGTGTAATGATTGTACCTACCTTGCAGAGGAAATGGAAATTCAGGCCAGTTAATTCATTTGCCTAAGCTCAGTCAACTGAGTGAACGGAGGGCTGCCTCTCTTCCTAGGCTGCACTCTATGAAACTGTATGCCTTTCTCCCCATGCTGAAATTATTCCTCCAAAACCATCTCACACAGGCTAAGTCCATACACTTTTACTCTGCTTCCTCAGTTTTTTCTTATTTGTAAGCTACATGATTCTTGAAGTTCAAGACAATTTGTCCACAGTCAGAAGTTCCAGAAAGATTTCAAAATCAATTTTTATCTGACTTTGTCCGTTTCACATGGAGTCTTGAGTGCTGAAAACTGGGTCTGCCTCGGCGTTCCAGTTTTGAGGTTTGTGGCAATGGTTGCTAATCCATCTCTCCCTCTGATGGTCGCCATCTGCTGGACAGAATCAGTCTATAATTGTTGTCTGGGATGGCAGGGCCAGGCCTGTGGGATTCTGTTCTAGTGAAAAACCCAGCAATGGGTCAGAGAAGACTCTCGCCTGAGGATGATGTTCTGGAAGGAAAGGTACTACATCATCTCCTTCAGGTTTTACTAGAGAAAGCCCAAAGTATGCTATGACAATCCTTGTGCCTGTAATATGCTCCTCAACTGGTCTCCACATTTACAATGTACTGGGTGGGTATATGGCGGAGGTCAGAGGCAAAGCTCTGGAAGACCTGGGGCCCAAGCTGTTGAGATGGCTCCTCTCTACCAGTGTCCTTTTCCACCAATGTCCTGCATCCACTCACCTTCCCAGAAGGCGGATATCATAAGATGTTTGGATGATATTTGGTGTCCCCACGACAGCAGCAGAGAACAGCAGCTTCAGGTGCATATTTTCCATTGCCTCCTTGTGGAAAGCAAACAGGAGCTCCTAAAAGAAGAGAGAGACAATCACAGAGTCAGGAAATGAAAACCTGAAATGAGGTCGAGAACCAGAAGACAGACATGTGTCATCCTGAACCCTTTGAGCCATGTTCTGGGACGTGTAAGTAATTCTCACATTGACTCAGAGAGGGGATGGCGGAGCCCAGTGTGATTTAATATAATTCTCATCTTCCACGTTGGAGGCCCACCACCTCATATCCAGCCACCACCCATCTGTCAGTGGAGGCTTCCATAACACTATGCTGTTGAACAGGTTTCAGTTGGAGCTTCTAAACTAAAGTGGACTAAGAGGAATGGCCTTGGCATCTGCTTCCAAAGATCAGAAGTTAACATCCTGGATCATAAACGCCTGGTCCCATTGCACCATGAGTCTGGGGCTAATTCCATGACAGGTAACAAGAAGTAGGCTCAGGCGTATGTAATTTAGGCAGACACTGCCTGCGGAAATCAGGAGGATGCAGAGAGAAGGCATCCCTTTGACGTTTAGATGAAGGGCTAGATGCAGATGGAGAAAAGAGCAATCACTGACCACATGCTCAGCACCACCAAGGTGATGGCAGCGTAAGCACATTCTGTCACCTCTCTCCTACTCTTGCCCGTGCTGTATGCGGTGCATGTCCCCAGCTTTAAGGATCCTCCTCTGCTGTGAGGCAACATGTAACAAAATCAGAGCTTTGAACGGGTTTGTTTCTATTCATAATGGATTCAGTGTGTCTGAATCATGACTGAGTCAAATGACAAGTATCAGCAGAGGGTTTAAGTGGAATGAAAAGTCAAAGCTCTGAATAACATTAGACCGTTTCTGGATTTGGAAACTGCCATGTTGGTCTTATTTCAATTAAGAAGACAAAATTCCATCGGTCATGCCTAGGACTGCCTCTTATTCCAGGGTACAAGAAGAAAAGGTCAAGAACATCGAAGTTATATGTCCTTAGAAGAGATATAACGGAACCAGTGAACTTTTCATGGCTGGTGGATGTAGACAGCAGAACAGTAAACCTGCAGCGAAATGCAGGGTGAGGCAAGACCCACCATCAGCAGGATCACCACCGCCTTCCTTTGAGGCCTCTTGGCTCCTGGCCAATGATGGCAGGGACTATGTGGCTGAAAGGGAAGGTCTTTAAACATTAAGAAATTTTTCCTCAAATTCTTATTAAGGCTGGTGGTGGGAATGAGAGATGAGTTTAAAGGATGAGTTGGAGGTTGCTAGGTACCAATGGCAACATACCCAGGCATGGGGATTTGAGTCAGTGGGGAATAAATGAAAAACATGCCCTGCTGGCCTGATGCACAAGAAGCAACAGGTGCAAGATAAGCCGCATGGCCCCGGGGCCAGAAGACCTGGCTTCGTCCAGATCCACCACCAAAAAGATGTCTCAGCAGCTGGGAAGGTACTTGACCTTGCTCTGCTTGCTTCCTAGTAGATAGCTACCCCATTCCTAAAACCTATTTTAGCACTGACATTCTTTTCCTGACTAGATTACGGGACGGGGTCGGGAGGAACCAAAACATCATCCCAGGGCCAACATGCCAAGAAAGATGATCTAATTTGGGTGTGAGCTGCAGAACATGGCTTGAGAGGCCCATGTTCTGACTGGGGACTCCAGGTCCTTTTCTGCTCATTCACAGGCTTAATTGGTGTGTGTCTGTGTGTTTGTGTGTGAGATGTGATTTTTCTCTTCTTCAGTGAAAATGTTATTTAAAAACATTCTAACTTACTGGAGCCGCACTTTAAGCAATTCTGACATATATTTCCATGTAATGATTGTAAAACTATCCAATTCAGAATTAGTTTCATGAAAGGAGTCTTGGTGATATAGTGTATGACTTGTTGGAATACTAACTGAAATGTGAAGGATTTGAATCCACCAATTGCTCCACAGGCGAGAAGCAGGCAATAACTCCCATAAGGATCTGTAGTCTTAGAAATGAGAGTGAGTCTAATTAAAAAAAAAAAATTAAAAAGGGCAGTTTGAGTCTAAAAGCCATTCTATGGAAGAAAGGTGAACGAGTCAGCTCTTGTAAAGAGTTGTTATGCGCCATTGAGTCACCTGCAACTCAACCTAAACCCTGCTCTATCCTGTGCCAAATTTATTGTCTCTGACACACCTACCCCCATTTCCCCAGCCACCGAATCAATCTATCTCATCCAGGGTCTTCCTCTCTTGCGCTGTTCCTCCACCCTCCCAAGCATGTTGTCCCTCTCCAAAGACTGGCTCCTCCTTGCAACATACCCAAAGCATGTCAAATGGAGCTTCAGAATCCTTGCCTCCAAGGAGCAGCCTGGTTTCACTCTCTCTAGGTTGAACCCGTTTGTTCTAGCAGTCCATGGTATAGTCAATACTCTTCTCCAGCACCACAGTTCAAAGGCATCAACTCTCCTTCTATCATCCCAAGTCATTGTCCAGCTCTGTCCTGCACGGTGCATGGGAATCCACTTGCTAGCAGTGGGTTTGATCTTGGTTTAGGTCTTGTCCCTTTGCCAATGACCTAGTTTCTGAAAGATATGTAGGTGCAATCTGTAAATTTCCTTCAAACCTCTGACTTTTGCCTTCTTTTTCTACAAGTTTGGGATACAAACTAATATTTTGGGAGCCTCTTCTGAGTATTCATGAGATAATATGTGTAAAATACCTAGCATGCCATATAGCAAATAGTTTAAGTGTTCAAAGGGGAGAGGACACTGAAGGTTGGACAGTTAACACTGCTCTTCTGCGCGGTTGAGTTTATTCTGACTCACAGTGACCCAGTACGAGAGAACAGAACTGCCCTAGAGGTTTTCCTAGGCTAGTGGTGTGTTGTTGTTAGGTGCTGTCAAGTGGAGAATGATAACAGATCATAGGGCCCTATCCAGTGCCATCCTCAACATCTCTGACACACTTGAGCCCACTGCCACACTCACTGTGTCAACCCATCTCATTCGAGTTTTCCTCTTTTTCATTGACCCTCCACTTTTCCAAGCATGATGTTCCTCTCCATGGAATAGCCCCTCCTAACAACAAGCCCAAAGTATGTGAGATGAAGCTATATCATCTTTGCCTCCAAAAAGCACTTTGGTTGCACTTTCTTCAAGACCTATCTGTTTGTTCTTTTGGCAGTCTGTGGGATATTCAGTACTCTTCTCCAATACCACAGCCCAAAGGCATCAATTTTTCTCTTAGTGTATACCATATTGGGCTGCTAATCAAAATGTCAGCAGTTCAAATGCACTAGCTGTTCCATAGGAAAAATACAGGTAGTCTATGCCTGTAAAGATTCACAGCTTCAGAGACCTAAAAAAATAATACTCAAAGAGGATTGCTATGAGAGAATGGGCTTGATGGTAGTAGTTTTAATCTTTACAGAAGGCTAGCATTTTTCTTCTTATTCTTATAAGCACCTGGTGGTTTTACACTACTGATCTTTTGGTTAACAGCCAAGCACATAACCTCACAGTTCCTTGGTTATCATCTAATGTCCCCCAAACACTTCTACAGCAACTGGAAGATTTTTTGCAAGGTGCATATTATATACTTCTGCCTCCAGTTTCCATCTCCTTCATATCATTTTCCTTAAGGTAAGATTAACACTGGCCTCTACACCATCTCTCAGCCAGGCAAGAGGAGTCATGCTTCTCCAGGAAACAGGCAGTTTGTAATTCTCGACTGTCTTGTGGAAGGTAAAGTGCTAACAAGAGCAGCTACCATGTATTCAATTTACCAAGGCACTAAGCTTAGCATCCAATATAATCCTTTGAGCTTGATTTTATAGATCCATTTCTAAAATTAGCAGATGCAGGCCCTGCCTGTGAGGTTTTCTGTTTCTTCTGCTTGTCCTGTACAATCACCTCAGACAAACGCCAGGCTTCTTATGAAGGGCCAAGGGACCAATTGTGATTGCTCCATTTTGTTCCTTCCTCCTCACCTTTGCTGGAACCTCCCTGTCCCTGACTCTCCTCTCCCCACTACCCGTGGAGAAGAAGTCATGGTGCTTGAAGCAGGATCTGGTTCAGAGAAGCCTCTGTACCAGTTTTCTCTCCCATAGCCAAACTGCTTCCCCTTCCCAGTCCTCATTTCCAACCTGCTTGTCTCACCCTCCCTTCTGCCATCATCAGCTACCCCAGAGGTAAGCTCATGACAGAAAACTCTGACCTTTTTGTGCCAAAGTCCCATCCACCAACAGACAGGAGTGTTTTCAGCTATCTGTTCCTACAATATGAGAGAGAGGGCTGGTAAGCAGGGTCCTCATGCAACCTTTCCCTTCATTCACAGAGGGTGGGAAGTCAAAAGGGAGAGGGTGAAATGATTGGGAGTGGGAGAGCTGGTTATCTATCAGGCAGAGACAACAAAAGCCACAATGCAGCCCAAAAAGAGCTAGGGTGCTTACCAACAGGGGATCTTTCTAAAAGGGGAGGGAGAGCTTCTGGGATAACACTGAAGAGGAAGCTAAGGGTTGAAAAAATCAAAGTAAAGTGAAAGAGAACAAAGGAAATAAACAATGTATAAAATCTGAAAAATATGACCCCCACATCCAATGAAACACACTTCTCCTTCAGTTTGTTGAACTCTGGGTAGAAAATACTCTTATCCTGGACATTTTTTTTGCAACAATCCAGTTCTTTTCCATTGAAGCAAATGCAAATATTAGGTGGGTGTACAGAAAGGGATCCAAGTCCTGGGGCAAAATCGAAGCAGGGGCTGGTCAATTAGATGCCTAATTGCTGAAATAACACATAAGTTTGTAGGTGGCACCTGGCCAAGAAAGCACACAACGGTTGACAAAAACCAAGGAAAGAGGACATTCAGCTTCCACAGAGCAGGGTGGACACCAGCCCTGTGTCTAGTAACAGTTTCTTCCACAATCCCCCAAACTAGGCTGAGGTCTGACCCATTCCCACTTGCTGAGATCTCAGGGGGGTAACAAATGCCTGCTTCTCCAGCCTGGATCCTGGCACAAAGTGGGTAACTAATAGCAGCAGATTGAACACCCTCTGCTGAACCGAAAGAGATCCATGATCCCAGACCAAAAAAACCAATCATGCCAGGATGGGACAGCAGGGACCACTCAACACAGAGGACCTCTCAGCCAGACACTCTCTTTCTGAAGGGAGCACAATTTTCTTACCATCATGGTGTTCCAGCACAAGAACCAACCCTGCAGAAAACAAGGGAAGAAATGGCACTTGGACACACACAATCTGGAATACCCAACACCCGCCCCGTCAACCAAGGCATCACCACTCAGCAGGCCGTCCAAGGGCCAACACAAATGGAGTCATAAAAGCCATACACTTTCCTCTCTTCTCTCAAGTTGGGCAAGTGAAGCTGGATCTAAGCTCCATTCACTCTGAAGCATACTACATACATACATGAATGCTTTACACATGAACATATTCTTTTTTAAAAAAATTCCAGTGAAATATTTACACTTATTTTTGGCTGTACATGAAATATCTTTGCTCCTTCCCTGGAGATTCGGATTTAATTGTTCTAAGGTGGGGCCAGCCCAGCATCAAGTTGTTAATTTCTTTTTAAACATGGTATCATCAAGTTTGAGAACCAATGCTCTAATTATTCCTTCCCAGGAACCCCTGCTCCTCAGTGTATCCCACTATGTTGCCAATTGGCTCCTATTCATGGGCGATCCCAGGTACAACAGAATGAACCATTGTCTAGCCCATAGCCTCATCATTGTGATTATGAGTTGTATACTCAAGTCCATTGTTGTAGCCACTGTGTCTTTTTGGAGTGCCTTCCAACCAAGTGGGCTTGTCCTCAGACAACCTTCTATTGAGATGCACAGTGTTTTCACAGGCTAATTTTCAGCAGTAGATTCCCAGGCCTATCTAGTCTTAATCTGGAAGATCTATTGAAAGTTCTCCACCATAGATGATCTTGTTGGTATTTTGAAGTCTCTGTATCATTTCAACACACAAGCCATCATAGTAGGACAAACTGACAGATGTATGGTGGAGTCTTTATCTACCTAATCCAGGCCTCTTGAATCCCAGGTTGCTCTTCCAGCCACCAGAGAGATGGAAAATTCATGCATCCTGGTTCCTCCTGTACTCTAGGCTACCTCCTGATACTATGCAGGGTCTGTCATACTCACCAGCCTCCCCATCTTGAAGATCTGACAGCTGTGCAATTTGAGTTCCAGTCCCTTTATATGAGCTTCCTCATATACAGCCCTGAGATAGCCCAGCCCTACACACACGCGCCCAAGCCAGAGTCACTGACATTAATTCCTGTCCCAGAGTCTGAATAACCCTAGAACCTCCCATTCTTCCTTTCCAGCACAGCTGTACCTCCCCAAAGCACAAAGGACCAGTACTAAATGAGTACTGGTAGGGAGGGGGTGTCCACCACAGGCTGTATTCAGGGCAACCAATCCTCCTCAGACCCTCCTGCTCAGTCCCTCATTCTGATGGTCCCTCACCCATGAGCTGATTATTAGGAAGAAACACTCTATAATAGAAGTAATTCTTCTATTATAAGTCTAGTCACTTTAGAGATAAAAGAATGTAAATTTGAAAAGTCTCAAATAGGGACTCAGGGAAGTAAGATTTGTATCTCTGTGTTTGAAGATTGTTGGCATTTTTAAGCACAAAATCTAATTTTTCTGAGTCAATAGTGTTTTGAGTCCATAGTCACCCCAACTGTGAAAATGTGTCATGAGCTTAAGGAATATGAAAATAAAATAAAATAAAATAAATAATAAAATATGAAAGAAATATGAAAATAAAATTCTGGGCAACAGAGAACACGTTTTTTTAAAAAAAAATTCTGGCAACATGGTGGATGAATAATAAAATTGGCTTGCAAACTAGATGTTTTATGACTCACAGAGGGTCTCAGACCAGGGGTAGTCCTCACAGTTCAAGAACTGAATCTTAATCATGGAGGGCCTAAAGCCAGATATTTTAAGTTGCCCAAGATGCTGATTCTTTCAGACTGATCCTGGCACTTAATTCACGTGCCACTAATGTTAGCATTAACCACATAAAGCACCATACATAACAGAAATGACAGCAGTTGCAGTTAGGAATTCCCATCATCTCAGTATTTCCCTGCCAATATAAGAAATATAATAAGAACTCAAGAAGGGCTGTTTGCTTCTAGATCATGGAATAAAAATAATAAGTGCAGAAAAAATAATGAAGAATATAGAATTTGAGCGTAGAAGTATTTTATCAAAACTCTGGGATTTCCTGATGGAGTATCTCATAATAGAATATGTGCCTCCATTTTTTCATCTATTTTTGCCTCGCTTTGTGTCTTGAACAAATTACTCACTGAATTATATAGTACGTGTCAGACTCTGCTGGGTGCTTAGCTACAGTGGAGATAAAGATAGAGAGGTCTCAAAGAATGTATAGTCTGGTAACAGGATGGAGACCACCCCAGATCTAGTGTGTCTCATTCTAGACAACAGCATGATGGGTGCCGTAGGGAATCATGCATTTTATAGCCAAGCAGACCTGAGGGCCAGTTCATGCTCTGAACTATTGCTGTGGCCATGAGAGTCCCACCCGCATGCTTAATGCCACCCAACATTCTTTGGGCTAGTACTAGCTGAAATCTGGAAATCATCAAGCCTCTTGTGACCAACACTGGATCAGGTTTGTCAGACAATTTGTATCACTGATTAGGTAAAAAATGGCAAGCTTTTGTTTAAAATAGCCACCTTATTCCTTTTCATTTCCAGTTATGTTTCAGTCCACATACCTTGATTCATGTCACTGAATAACTGCTTTGATTTCCTTTTCTGTAAACGATTTGGCATCAGAGTTGGTTCCTAGGCTCCCTTCATCCTAGGGTTTTGTACCTTGCTGCCTGTCTTGTAAGATCACTTTAAGAGGAATGATTGAATCCCTCTACTTCTGAGTCCCAAATTTTTATACTGAATATGTGCCCTTCCACCTAGACTCCTGCCAGAAGCATCAGCTATTAATTCTGTGCCCACCATATGAGCTAATTGGAGCCTCAGTTATCTGTACCTGTCAGTTCTGCTCCTGTGGACATGGACAGTTTCATTTTAAGGCCTCAGGACCTACAGAAGTGACTGATGATACTAAGAATGTCAAGACTGAACAATGGGTACTCAGGAATGACCTCTGCTTCATTCAGGGATAACCAGACCAAACAGCTGATAAAAATAACTCTTCGTGTAGATGGCCCATGATGAATAGTAAAATGGTCAATGAGGGTTTTGTTGAAATCAGTATGCCAGTGTTGCTCTTTGCTCTTAATCACTCCTTGAGTATGTGCTATGAAAAAAGAGATCTTTTTAACCTGTATTTTATTTTTGCCCACCTACCTGAATAATTGGGGGAAATACCCCTTAAGCTCCGTTACCCCTGTAACAGAGTTACAATTATAAATATAAAGAAATCCCACAACAGTACAGTCTCTCCTTACAACTAGATAAAAGCAAGATCACAGATAGGACATGCTGCTTTTAACAGGGCATATTGCCAAATTTTCAATATTAATAGGGATGAATTTTAAAAAGTATGAGTTAAAATCCATTGATATAATAATATAATTATCCAGAGAGTATTAACTACAGATCAATAAAATCAGAAAGAGCCTTTTCTGGC